TAAATATTATTTATATTTACCAGGAATATCTAGTAATTCGTAAATCTTCCATTTTTCTACTGATTTCAGCCCAAAATTATCCTCAATTTCTTCACCAGTGATGTGTGCCTTAATATTTCTAACCTAAAAGTAATATTTGTGAGCAACATGGAAAGCATACATTAATTATGTAATTACGTACTCTGATGCAATCAAGATTTTCAAGATCGATTACATTACTGAGATCGGGTGCGGGATTTCGACTTTTGTAATATTTGAAACTGTCACGAAACATCATTTCTCAACCCTGGCGGCTGCCATTTCTCTCGAAGTTTTTGATAAAGGGCTTGTTCGTTTTAGTTACACTGGGGCTGCTCTGGGTCTGCTCTACACAGGATAATACAGGACAGATAAATAGTTTGTCCTGTATTATCTTGTGTTAGAGCAGACCCAGAGCAGCCCCAGTGTAGCTAAAACGAACAAACCCTTTGTCTAACGCCATATTTGTCTCTAGAAAAGAAATATTTTCATTGGATGTAAAAAATCCCATGGCAAGTAGCAAAGTTGTATGAATCTCCCATAAGTCTATATTTTTTACACGTGACAACAGATAGCGTTTGCAATCACTTTAGATTAGAATTCCCTAGGAACTGTACTTTAAATAAATTTTAAATAGTGAAGCCATGTCATTTTATATTGATTTATATCAAATATTATGTGTATCTGACGTAACCTTAACTGGTCACAAAAATGTTACATAAATATAATCTCATATGTTTTGTATAATGATTAGTTTAAAGGTAAAAAATTATATTTATATTTTGTATAATCATAATTATAATCATAAATATTGTATGATTGTTCGTTATTTGTAAATTTTGAATATTTTTGTACAGCTTATATTAACTTTGATTTTTTTTCAGCTCGTGCATAACTTGTGTAATAGAGCATATCGACAGATTGCTAGACATATCGTCTGACTAAGAGCGGAAAAACGTATCTGACGGCGGGTGGACACGTAAACTACACGCCACCCAGTATTATTACTCAATATAATTTGCATATCTTCATCAAGATGAGATCGCATTGGGAAAGGTGATTTTACTTACAATAACGTACTCAAAGTTTAACAGGGCTTACATCTAGTAAGAGTCTTTTTATCAAATCTTAAAGAATAAAAATTTACTGTTATTAAAATATAATTCTATTTTTGCAAGTCATATCAAAGGTTATGTCTAAAAACTTTTGTTTACTGTGAAAGAACTGTCGGCATTCTGATTACAAATTATTCTTTTTGACTATATATGTAGGTAAACATTTGTGTCTGAACACATTTAATTCAAAAATATCCTTTTATTAGTAAATTTGCCACTTTTCTCAGCATGGCTTGCTTTGTACGAGCATGTGCAATAATTGTCTGTGACTAATTTTAGCGTGTGATTTTTGCATAATGCGGCAATGCCGGGAAACGGCATGATTTCATAGAGTAACAGCGAGTAGGGCAGGGCATCGAGCAGGAGCAGCAACTCTCAAGGCTTTTCGAAAGCCTACTGTGAGTAAATTAATAGACGCGGTAGGCCGCAGCAGTAATAATGATCCATTACCGCCGCACTTCTATTCGCCATAAATCTCGCCCATCTACCCAACCTGACCACATGCTGAATCTATTGTTCACCCGCACACCTGTAATAATTATTATGGTATCGATCCAGTTCGACCCAAATTTTCACGATCATCGTGATAGGAAAAACTAGAGGTAATAGATTTTGTTATTAGCTAAAAAAGGGAAATTTTCTTTGGAAATAGTGATACGTTGCGATCAAAAAAATGAAATCATAGAAAAAATTATTAATCCAGAAGAAAATCAAAAATGTCAATCTCAATTCTTAAGAAATTCTAAAAAAATTAATTTTAATTTCTTTAATATTTTTGCTGGAGAGATCAAATATTAGTATTTTTTATCTGCCTATCCATCTCTCATATTTATAATGTTTGTGGTTTATATAAAAATAGATCTATAATGTCGAGATTATTTAATAAAACTGATTTTCTTTAAACAATTCTTCATTCTGTAACACAGAATAGAGTTTATAATAATTTATTACAGCTATTCGTATTACTTTCAGGCAAGTTTTGAATCAAGAATAATTTATGTGATTGGAGGACTGACGTTTCTGGCAACATTGAGTACTCTAGGAGTATCTAAGAGCGCAATACACACACGGATCGAATATGCGGGCGCGGCGCGGCGCAGCGAGGGAGCGGAGCGCGTATTCTCCCTGACAGTTTCATGTCAACAAATGTCGCGGCCACGGAGTCGCGCCCAGCCAAGCCGCCAGCCAGCTAGCCGCGCGTCGAGATCCGCCGGCGAGTATTTGCGAGTCGCACGCAGCTGGACAACGTCATCGCCGACGAATCGGCGTGCTTCGCAGTGACGGCATGAGCTAAATATAGCCGGTATATATCTAGGCCGGTCGCGACCGCGAATTATCCACAGTCGTGCGCCGGCGGCCGACGGAGAAAGATCAGAGGATTACGAAGTGGGAGTGGAACGAAGTGCGTGCACAGTGCGCGGACGGCGCCGGATACAGGACGCTGCAAAGGTAAGTGCGAATTCTACGTAAGCATATGCTTTTAAGGATCTCTTCCGATTTGCAACAAACATAAATCTTTGTCGTGAAACTATTGCAAAAGTGGATGCAGAAGAAAGGTGCTTTCGCGTCAAATTCGGAACACGTGTTTCGTTTGTAATAAACATCGCTGTTATAAACACGAGTCGTTTAGCTATTCTCGGTTCGCGGTTACGGTTCGCGTCTGAAATTGGCGAGCAGACGGTGGATTGTTTCGCGATTTTTGGCGAGATGCGAATTTCGGGTCGAGTATGCCATCGAGACGGCGCGATGTGCGGCGTGCCGCTGCGCACGCAAAACGATCAAAGTGTACGATAACGTTGCGCGATTTGTAGAGTTTATTTTAATCGCACTTTCGGACTTTTTTCTCCCTTTGAAGTTTGAATATATATTTATTTTGTTTTGAGCGCGTAAAGTGTGAAAAAAACTAAAGAAAAACGAAAAAATCTTGATGTTTATTGCTCGACAAAAGTGCGTTTTTATGTTGCGCATCAATAATTCAAATATTGAATTATAAAATACACAAAAATCAACAGTGAAATTAATTAATAAACATTTATTATTCATAATGTTTGTTGTTAATGATCTGTTTAGCTGTGTTGTGTTAACATAAATAAGTAAATATTAATCGTAACATATCACGTATGACATGAGGGACACTGAGTTTTAAATCGGTACACGAGATATCGAGATCGTAAAATCGCGTTCGATATATTGGGGGTGTTTGTGGTGGTAATCGTGGTTGAAGGGAGATAGTAACGAGTATGTTACGTATTGGCATTACGTCCGATAAGGTTATTACGTGTTGGATCGACATAATGTTTTGCCATCGGGCGCATAGTTTTCTGTCGTGTGACCTTGCGAGTTTTGCGCGATTTTTTTTTTTACGAGGATTCTCTCCGGGCGGTTTGCGCGTATGCAAAAAAAATTTTGAACGTGATGCCGATGATACTTTAAAGTTGTTGTCAGATTGATCGCGGCTGCGATTTGGATTGATTTACGTGGGTTTTATCGCCGTCGGGTTCGCAATTGCTCAAGGTCGCGACGCCACAAAGTAGAACTTCGCTGCCATCATAGTTGCAATGTTGCCACAAGAGCTCATGAGAGAACATACATTGAACGTGCCTTGTTCGCTCTTATTCGTTGTGAAAACATACGAAGGACAGGATTTTAAAACTCATTCGTGTCGTTTTCGAAGGTATGTTTCTGAAACGTTTATTCATATTTGCCAATATTTGTTAGCATCCAAATTGTAGGCTTATCATTTGTTAATCACGATAAGTAATTGAAGAATTTATTTTCAAATCGTCTCAAGTTCTTTTTCTAATGAATACGATGAATAGAATGCATTTACGAATTCTTTACAGCTTTATAACATATAATTTTTCAAAATATGAATTTAAAACAGTTTGGAAATAAATTCTACAATTTTTAAAATGTGCTGCAATAACATATTACATAATAATATTGATTTCTGTAATGGTATAAATTGTTTGCTATAATATTAGCATTACATTATTGCTGGATATAATCGAATGTGTATGGAAAAGTGCATTCAAACAATTATTTTTCTTATTGGATGTACATTGCTAATATCACACTTTCCGTATTCTTATGCCTTTTTATATTATAATTATTTTTCATTGTTTCTGAACTTTCGAACAAGTTCTTTCCTCGAAACCGGTGCTCGCGAAAGAGAAGTGGGACAAGGCATTTATGCGCATTGTGCGCCTCTTTCATGAATATGAATGCGCAATCGTTCGTGTCTCTACGCGCGTCTTTGAAGTTGACTATCTATTATCGCGTTTACGAGATATAGACAAGTTATAGAGAACGAACCAAAGCGTAGACGGATGGATGAGAGTAGTCATGCGCGATTTGCGTGTAGTTAGCCCGGGATAAATTACTCTGGAATTTAGAGCGCCCGAAAATAATTCGTTTTCCTGAGAAACCGCGGGTCTCTCTCGTTTCTTGGTATCTTTGACATATCGATGTCTCTGTCGCGATAAAGATCCCAATTCTTAAATTGCGATAAGGCAAGAGAAGGATTAACGCGATGGATACTCGATCAGATTAATTAGCCCCTTGTTTAGATCTATCTAGAATTAAGCTGAGAGAGATAAAGAGAATGAGGAATGAAAAATCTAATATTATCAATGTACAATAAAATAATAGTTATGAGGCAAGTAATATTGCGAGATATGGAAGTATAATTATTGATAAAGAACGGTATTCATTGACTTACTTATTTGCCACCGCTAAAGTTTTGTCCATGAAAAGCCAATAACTTGGGAATTATCGGTGTCTCGTTATTTTCCTTGAGAAAAAGTTGATTTTAAATTAATTAAAGAATCTATTAACTCGATACTTGATATACTTTGAATATGCATATATCTACATACATAAATGAGAAATTCTTATTCATTTAACAGTTTCTTATTCACTAGAATAACTATCAGTTTCTTCTATAATTATTTTGTTGTTTTTCATTGGAGAATAATGCTCAATATAAACAGAAAAAGCAGAATTGTATGTTTTTAATACGTTTTATATTTTTATTTTGTACTAATCTTATTGCAGTCTCCCAATTTTTTGCTACTATTGTTCGCCACATTTGTATGTCTTTTTTTCGCAATATGCGAATATATTTTTATGTGAGACAGTTTAGTCTCGCGCTATCTTTCGCTATCGAATGTCAGGTGTGCATGCATAATAATGTTGTTCAGAGATATTCCGGCGTTTTATATATTTTTTTTTCTCACGGCTACGCGATAACGTTGCCGGTTATCACGCATCTTTCCTTCGACGGAATGAATGAATCAGGTGCCGCATGGACGGATATATCGCGCTATAAAAACCGTCATTACTAAATTATATGATGGGCGATGGGAGAAAACGATCCTTGTATATGATATCGCTTGTAAAATTATCGCGATAAGATCGCGTAGGAGGAAGTGCTTGAAATAACATTGATTTTAGATCAAATTTTTTTGCTAAAAGCATTATATATAGCTTTGTATATAGATGTATCTATAAATATAAATATATAATATATAGTTTTTTAATATATACGAAAAAGATATTCTTATTAAAATCACAAGGTGGAAGGAAACACTCGTGAAGAAGATTAGCAAATTTTTACAGCATGTTTTTTCAACCACTGACAGCAACTGACGTTTGGCATAAAATTGCGTGCCTCTGATGTTTGTTTTTATCGGTAAACTTCCTCCGACATTGATAACCTTTACAAAATAATAATCTTATCTTGCACACTTGCTATGCAAAGCTATGAAGGTAACCACAATGGAAAGAAAGGTGCAATATTCTATTTAGCACTAACTGTAATCCTTTTTAGAACTTGCGGTGACAATTAAATTTCAGAATATTTCAAAGAATTTCAGCTGTTAATTATCACGCTTACGCATGTTTAACATTTCTATCAAAAGGTTTATTAAAAATAAAATCATAAATAAAAATAAGTATTGGCCTATATTTTCCTTATGTTTGTCGGATGTTGCATAATTTTTTTTGCAGTTTTTTCTTTTTTTCTTTTTTTATAGTTTCGGTATTATGTTGTTTGCGTCGCGAGTAAACGACAATCTGGCGCCAACTCATATATTAATGTCGTATCGATGCTGCAAACTGGTTACTTTAGAGCGATATTAAGTGAGATTATCATGCTATTGAATTGTCGCGCAAATATCTTTTTTACGTTTTGTATAAACAAGATCTACTTTTAATATATTGAAAACATATCGTACACTATGTTTCACTGTGTATAGCATGAAATATATATATAGCAACTTTTAAAAGAAGGCAGAAAACGTCTGAAGACATAAGTCAAATAGTTATTCCTTAAGAATTGGACAGATAATAAGAATAATGAAATAAAACTATTTATTTGCCAATTTTACACAGCAAATATCTTTATTTAGCTAATTCATGATTTATAATTCCGTCTAAATTTCAGGCTCGTTGTAAATTAAGTGAAGGATAGTTTTACTAATGTTTGCACTTTTTTGAGCTTAGTCGGCACTGTTTAAAATTAGCAATCGCGGTTGTACGGTCGTTAGACGCTTCAACGTTCGACAATTCGATTCTTCTGGCGTCAAGTAACGCGTGAAGACTATCGAATATCGAAGACAA